TCCTGTCATTGTAATATAGCAACAAAATTTGTCCTGGAGTTTGCCAGCAGGGATATTTAACCCTGTTTTTGAAAGCATCATTCATACTATAGGACCTAGGATTGTGTAGCCAGGGAACTGTGGGAAGTCATTTTGCTTTTTTTTTCTTTTTTTGTAGGGAACACCATTCTCTAATCTCTAACCTACTTATATCATAAAATTGTTGTGAGGGTGGAATGAGATAATAGATGTTAAACTGTATAAAGTACTATACAGTAATTTACCCTTAAACTTTTCCAACAGCCCCATTGAAGTAGAGGTTCCTCTTTTATGAAATTCTAGTATATACTGATTTACTTCCATAAACCTTTTTAGTTGAAAAAGAGAATTTTGAGTGAGTGTGCTTGGATTGTAAATTACTCCAATTTGAGATATAGGGTTAACTAGTAACATTAAAAAGGATGTTCTATATTTTAGTATGCATATTAGGTCAAGGTGAGGCTCATTTTTAAGAATCTTGTTAGAAATTCTTTTTTTTTAGGGAAATTCTAAAAAGTTATACCAAGTAATGGCAAATGGATATTTGTAGTTGTACAATATCAATTACGTAGGTCATTGACTTTCTTTTGTAATTATACAATATCAATTACCTAGGTCATTGACTTTCTTTTGTGATTGTACAATATCAGTTACCTAGGTCATTGACTTTCTTTTGATTTCATTGGTTTATATTGGTGGTCTTTTTTTTTCTAACTCTTCCAGTTTTTTTTTTTAATATATAATGTATTATTTGTTTCAGGGGTACAGGTCTGTGATTGATCAGTCTTACACAATTCACAGCACTCACCACAACACATTACCCCCCCCAGTGTCCATCACCCAATCACCCCCATCCCCCTCACCTCACCCCCAGCAGCCCTCAGTTTGTTTCCTGTAGTTAAGAGTCTCTTATGGTTTGTCTCCCTCTCTGGTTTCATCTTGTTTCATTTCTTCCTCTCTTCTCCTATGATCCTCTGCCTTGTTTCTTAAATTCCACATATCGGTGAGATCATAAGATAATTATCTTTCTCTGATTGACTTATTTCACTTAGCAGAATACCCTCTAGTTCCATCCATATCATTACAGATGGCAAGATTCCAATTTTTAATGGCTGCGTAATACTCCATTGAGTATATATACCCCATCTTTATCCATTCATCTGTCAATGGATATCTGAGCTCTTTCTATAGTTTGGCTTTTGTGGGCATTATTGCTATAAACATTGGGGTGCAGGGCGCCTGGGTGGCTCAGTGGGTTAAGCCGCTGCCTTCGGCTCAGGTCATGATCTCAGGGTCCTTGGATCGAGTCCCGCATCGGGCTCTCTGCTCAGCAGGGAGCCTGCTTCCCTTCCTCTCTCTCTGCCTGTCTCTCTGCCTACTTGTGATCTCTCTCTGTCAAATAAATAAATAAAAATCTTTAAAAAAAAATTGGGGTGCAGGTGCCCTTTCATATCACTACATCTGTATCTTTGCGGTAAATACCCGGTAGTACAATTGCTGGGTCGTAGGGTAGCTCTATTTTCAACTTTCTGAGGAAGTTCCTTACTGTTTTCCAGAGTGGCTCTATGTTACTGGTCTTAAAAAAGATATTTGTAAGTCCTTTCATAACTTTTGTTCCCTATCTTGCTTTGTTCCTATAGTCTTAAATACATTAATTCATAAAGTTCATTTTTAATAAGGGCTCAGTATATACTTCTGAGGAGACATAAAGCAGTGAGTTCATAGGAGGGAGCAAAAGAGGCAAAAGTCCCTGCCCTCATGCAGCTTACATTTCAATTGGGGGATATTACAGGCCACAAACAAAATAAGTAAATCATATGTTATTTGATAATGAGACAATAGAAAAAAATAAAGGGAAGGGAGACTGTGCATTTAAACAAGTGATAGGGAAGGCCTTATTGAGAGAAACTGCATCTAGACAGCAATCTGAAGGTGATGAGGCAGGGAGCTGTCTTTTCCCTTGTCAGCCAGGGGGAGATCATGCCAACCAGTACAAAGGACCTGAGGTAGTAATGTGCAGGATCAACAGTAAGGACGTCAGTGTGATTAAAATGGAGTGTGTGAATTTGGGAGTGCCTTACAGTCCATTTTGCATTTTGAGGACTTTACCTCTGCATGAAATAGGAAGTCATTGAGGTTTTGAGGAGAATCCTAATACCAGAGTTTTCAGGAACACATCCTTGGAAATTGCACAGATAATACCCTATAAATAAAAGGTATTACTAGATACCATTATTCCTTTATGGAAATGTATATTTTTATAAACAGGCAAATATATCAAAAAATGTGCTGCCAATAAGTACTTACATGAAGAAAAATGTATTAGAAAACTTCACAGAAGTATTTTTAGTTTAAAAGATCAGTCAATGTAGGAAGATAGGCTTATTTTTAAGAGTTAACTAATAGCTTTTTAAAATGGAGGATGCTGTGTTTATGACGTGATCTCTAAAATAGTAAATTGTGGTGTCATAATGAGGATTATATCACTCTGGGTAACACGGTGGCAAAGGAGATGAACTGAAACATCTGATTCTTATTTTTTACCTCAAGAATGTTTACTTAAGCAATAATAATTTAGTATAACGAGTATGGGATAAGAAATAAAAAGTGCTGGATCTTGTCTGTGAAGGAGTTGGTCTTTCAGGTGAAGTACCATGTAACGATAAACAATTTATGGTAAGCACATTTTTTTTCAATTCCATCAAATTGTTAGTAATTTTTTAGGTTCTAAATTACCTAGTTTTACCTGAGTGGAAGTGTAGCGTCTAATTTAGAGCCCAGCCTGGAACATCTCTTTGCCAATGATAGGTCCTGGGGCGCCTGGGTGGCTCAGTGGGTTAAAGCCTCTGCCTTCGGCTCAGGTCATGATCCCAGGGTCCTGGGATCGAGCCCCGCATCGGGCTCTCTGCTCAGTGGGGAGCCTGCTTCCCCCTCTCTCTCTGCCTGCCTCTCTGCCTACTTGTGATCTCTGTCTCTCAAATATATAAATAAAATCTTTAAAAAAAAAATGCCAATCATAGGTCCTTGAGTGCATTTCCTTTCCTCCTTCTTTTGACTCCCCTCCTCTTCTCTTTCTCTATTTTGAATGAGTCAGCAATTTAGTCTTTCTATTTCTCTCATTTTTAGTCTCCTATATACTCTTTTTATAGAAATCTAGTCTTGATTATCTTGGTTGACTAGATTAGTTAACTTGGAAGAGTTACTAACATCATTGTTTTGTTTTGTTTTGTTTTAAGATTTTATTTATTTATTTGACAGAGAGAGAGAGATCACAAGGAGGCAGAGAGGCCGGCAGAGAGGCCGGCAGAGAGAGGGGGGAAGCAGGCTCCCCGCTGAGCAGAGAGCCTGATGTGGGGCTCGATCCCAGGACCCTGAGATCATGACCTGAGCCAAAGGCAGAGGCTTTAACCCACTGAGTTACCCAGGCGCCCCCTAACATCATTGTTTTGAACACTGAGCTTTTCTGCTGATTTTGCATCTACCAGATGTCTGATACTTCTTAACCTGGTTTCAGGCTCTTCACAACCTGTATTTCCTTTTAATTAGCTAGCCACTGTCCTGACTAGAATATTTTATTTACTACCTTCCAAATAATACATACTTAGTAATCTCTTAAGTCCATGCATAAGGCATACGTAAGGTATAGTATGTCCCATGTTTTTTTCATATCTCCGTTTCTGCTCATGCCTTATCATCTTCTTCCAATTCTTTTTTGTCTTCTTCTCTTATCCACGTTCTACTTATATTTCAGGATCAAATTCATATTCAAACTTCTCTGTAAAGCTTGTTCTATCTACCTGAGCCTGTGTTTTCTTTCTTTGAATTTTTACAGAAATGGTCATTGGCAGTTGATCATAAAGTTTTATTGCAGCTTTGAACTAGTACTTTACCGGTATTAGTCAAGGGTCTCCACAGAAGCAGAACAATAGGATGTGTGTGTGTGTGTGTGTGTGTGTGTGTGTGTATAAAGAAATTTATTATAAGGAATTGGCTATGTGATCATGGAGGCTGACAAGTCCCAGGATCCTCCAGCTTGGCAAGTTGGAGACCCAGGAGAGCTGAGTGAGTGGTGTAGTTCCATTTCGAAGGCTGGCAGGCTTGAGACCCAGGAAGAGCTCGTGTTTCATGTGAGTCTGAAGGTAGGAGGAAACCGATATCCCAGTTTGAAGGCAGTCAGGCAAAAGTAATTCTCTTTATATTTATTTGCTGAACATTCCTGTGTCTTGCCTTGCCTGTTAGTAGATAAGCACCTTGAGGCCAGGGACTACCTGTCCTATTTGCTTGCTTACCACCCATGAGTCCTTGCATGGTATAAGGACTTAGATGTGGTAGGTGCATCTGTATACTTTCTAAAACCATAGCATTTTAGAGCTGGAAGGGCCTTTGAGGTTATCTTGTTTTAGAGTTGGGGAGTCAAGAACAGCTTTAAAATAGGAAAGTCAGTAATATACCCCTTTCTTTGGGTTTTAGAAGAATAAGATGAGCTAATGTAATGTGTGTGAAAAGTGAAGTGTCTTATTAATTAAAACTTTTTTTTTTCCTTTGGCTTAGAGCATGAATCAATATAGTTTACAGAGTCCTTTAATGTGGTAAATTGGACAATATTTCTGGGTGGAGATTTCACCTTTTTTCTTCTCTTATTCATATTCACATGTATGTCCAAAATGTCCATATTCACATAGATGTTTGGATTTGAGATTGTATCATTATTGCCTCAAAGCATTTTATCTGAATGTTGAATTTGCTGATTTGTATAGAATATTCTAATTAGGTATTTAAACTCAAGTCATCATAATCAATGAGTAGTCTTAGCTTTTGGACATACGTATATTGAGGCTGCAGATTGAGGCTATAGAAGTTGAAGTTACAGTATCTAAACATAATAGTTTAATTTTAATTAAATACTCTTCTTCAGAAGTCTTCAATTATGAAAACTGGTATTGATTATTTTTCAAATGTTTTTATTTAATGTTTTTCCTTAGATTTTCTTGTAATCACATCTTAAAGCCTTCAAGATGGTACTAGCAGACCTTGGAAGAAAAATAACATCAGCATTACGCTCATTGAGCAATGCCACCATTATCAATGAAGAGGTATGTAAAATGTGTGAAATATATATGACTGCACATCATTACTAGCATCGGGACATGAATTATTAGTAATCTCTATGTTTATATTTGTTTTGATGCAGATTTAATAACTGTAGATAAAAATTTAAAGTTGGATACACTATATGATGTTTTTTATTGAGTTGACTATCTTACTATTTTACTTTCTATAAAGAATTATAAAAAAGGAAACAGAAACCCCCCAAATCTTAACTAACATGTAAAAATGGCATACATTTTTTGTTTTGAAAATGGCTTAGAGGGTGCCTGGGTGGCTCAGTGGGTTAAGCCTCTGCTTTCGGCTCAGGTCGTGATCTCAGGGTCCTGGGATCGAGCCCCGCATCGGGCTCTCTGCTCAGCAGGAAACCTGCTTCCCCCTCTCCCTCTGCCTGCCTCTCTGCCTACTTGTGATCTCTCTCTCTCAAATAAATAAATAAAATCTTAAAAAAAGGTAAAAAAGGCTTAGATCTGGAGACATAGACCCAAAACTTCAACGTCCCGCTCTTTTCTTTCTTCTTGGGTAGGCATGTGCGCATCTCATCTTTTTCTACTTTTATTCAGCTTTCTCATAGAAGGCTGGTATTTTCATGTTGTCTACTTTGATTTTCTCTGAAATCCTCGTTCAGTTTTTTTGCTTTTGTTTGTTTTTGTTCTTTAGTTTTTGTAAGCTGACTCCTTATATGGTATCTAAAGTACTCTTCCTCCTGGCGCTCTTGTTTTCAGTTTTAAATATTTCTTTTTCAGGCAACCCTCTTGGGTCCCCTCCCTCCTCAGGAGCTTTGTACCATTGCTTTGCTACTGCTCATTAAAACTTTTATTGCCCACCCAAAAAAAAAAATTATCCCCCCCACATACCTTGTATCTTAATGATTTGTCAATTGAAGAAGATGAGAGTCCCCAAGTATACTTTATATTTTGTGGTACCAATGGGACAGTACTGAATTTGGTTTTAGAAGACCTCGTTAGCCACCTGCTTAGTAGCTTGTGATAGAAATCTGGGCAAGTTAGCTTCAGATTCCTTAATGTATAAAATGAGAAAACAGCATTTACAAGGTGCTTTTAAGGATCTAATTAAATAATAGATTTAAAAAGTACTTTCTAGGGGCACCTCGTGGCTTAGTCAGTTAAGCATCTGACCCTTGATTTCAGCTCAGGTAATGATGTTGGGTTTGTGAGACTGAGCCCCACCTTTGGCTCTGTGCTGGGCATGGGGCCTTGTTGGGAATCTCTCTCTCCCTTTCTTTAAGGAAAAAAAAGCGCTTTCTAACTTGGAGGTTTGGAAAAAAAAATTTTTTTTTGAACTAAAAAAACCTTTTATTCTAGTGTAGTTAATATACTGTGCTATATTAGTTTCAGGTATACAATACAGTGATTGACTAGTTCTGTACCTTACTCAGTGCTCACTGAAAAAAAAATCTAATATAGAATTTGCTATCAATACCTTAATAAGTTAATGGTATTAAATAATTTTGGAACCATCTTTGAGTTCAGCTAGTCCAGCCTCTCAGTTAACAGCAACAGGAAGTCAGTTCCACGTCTTTATTTCCAAAAAGCCAGGATTAGTATCTTTTTTCTAATTCGTCATCCAGGGTTTTTTCTAATAATTATTATTAAATGATAAATCATAATTTAAACCATTGTGCAGTCTTTGGCATTCAGAATAAATAAAACAGCAGCCTTCCAAACAGTTTTCCCTGTGGTGTAACCCTTATGCTGTTTATGTTTCTAGTAGAGAAAAAAGAAACCAGGGAGAAGAACTTGGTGGGAAGTATAGTAACAGCTGTTGCTTGTATTGGCAACTTCTCTGCTCTTAGTACTGTGCTGCTAGGGAATTAACAAGAATCTCTCTAATGAAAGATCAGTTCCATTTTTATCAGACTCCATTAATAAGAGATGGATCTGATGAGCCTCTGTAGGATGTATGAAGTGAGTTGAGGTGGGAATTATTCAAGAAATATTCCAGGGCCCATTTTATTTTTTAAGATTTTATTTTTGAGGCACCTGGGTGGCTCAGTTGGTTAAGCATCTGCCTTCAACTCAGGTCATGATCCCAGGGTCCTGGAATCGAGCCCCATGTTCAGGCTCCCTGCTCAGCCAAGAGTCTGCTTCTCCCTCTCCCTCTGCCCCTCTTCCTGCCTGTGGTTTCTCTCAAATAAATAAAATCTTAAAAAAAAAAAAAAAAAAGCTATGCAGCCATCAAGAGAAATGAAATCTTGCCATTTGCAATGACGTGGATGGAACTAGAGGGTATTATGCTAAGTGAAGTAAGTCAATCAGAGAAAGACAATTATCATGTGATCTCTCTGATATGAGGAGTTTGAGAGGTAGGGTGGGGGGTCTTGGGGGGTAGGGAGGGGAAAAAATGAAACAATATGGGATGGGAGGGAGACAAACTATAAGAGACTCTTAATCTCGCAAAACAAACTGAGGGTTGCTGGTGGGTCAGTGGGGAGGGATAGGATGGCTGGGTTATGGACATTGGGGAGGGTATGTGCTATGGTGAGTGCTGTGAAATGTGTAAGCCTGATGATTCACAGACTTGTACCCCTGGGGCAAGTAATACATTACATGTTAATAAAAAATTTTTTTTAAATCAAAAAATCAAAAGATTATAGTTTTGAGTTAATCTCTACACGCATTGTGGGGCTCCAACTCATAGCCCCAAGATCAGGAGTCACATGCTGTAACTGACTGAGCCAGCCGACGGTGCCCCAGGGCCTGCATTTTTACAGACTTTTTGCTGGCGCCAGGGATATAGCAGTGACAGACTAAAATCCGTGCCCTCATGGAGCACACAGGTTACTGTGTAAACCCTTATTTACCTGAGCAACAAAAACCTCATATTTTTTTAAGACTTTATAGTTAAGACCTTTTAACCACAGCACCTTGTAACTCAGCAAATATGTAATGATAGTGAGTTATTAATGGAGGATAGTTTTCTTTTCAACTTTGTTCCTCTGCTGTGAGTGGACATAGTAAGACTGCTAGGTCAGACTGGGTCAGTTTCTTCTGTTGCATTTTCCTCCTACTAGTCCAGTTAAGCAGATATTGTGAATATAAAGTGCTGTGTATTAGCAACAGAAGGCATTCAATGGCAACATGGATTGCATAGTAACGTTCTTAGGCTTGCATATTGTCTTTACTATTGTTACTTTAATATAGGAATAAAATTGTGACAATACTTGGTTGAATAAAGCTAAATGGAATATCTTTTTTAAAAAATTAACATATAATACATTATGTGTTTCAGAGGTACAGGTCTGTGATTCATCAGTCTTACACAACACCCAGAGCTCAACCACAATGCGTACCCTCCCCAGTGTCCATCACCCAGTCTCCCCATCACCTCCAACCTGGCAACCCTCAATTTGTTTCCTATCATTAAGAGTATCTTATGGTTTGTCTCCCTCTCTGGTTTCATCTTGTTTCATTTTTCCTTCTTCCCCATGATCCTCTGCCTTATCTCTTAAATTCCATGTTATCAGTGAGATCATGTGATAATTGTCTTTCTCTGATTAACTTATTTCGCTTAGTGTAAAACCCTCTAGTTCCATCCACATCATTGCAAATGGCAAGATTTCAACTAAATGGAATATCTTATTTTGACAAAATGATTAGACATTTGCTAAGATTACCTCTCTGAGGCTAACTGAGAATACTTTTTTTTTCTCTAACAGTGTAGTATTGTTTTTATTAAGCTATGGTAGTATATGATGACCAAGCAGCCGTTGTTTTTATGTGCTTGAAATGACACACTAGGAGTGCTAAATTTTTATGTATTTATTTATTTGCAGGTATTAAATGCTATGCTAAAAGAAGTATGTACAGCATTATTGGAAGCAGATGTTAATATTAAACTAGTGAAGCAACTAAGAGAAAATGTAAAGTAAGTTAAATTAATCAGGTAAAAACCAGGCAAACTAAATTTAGTTTACTGGGATGAAGAGCTAACTAGAAAAGTCTGCTATATCATGAAACATTTCTGCCGTACAGCATTTGAAAAGAACAGAACTCATATGTTGCAAGACTGCCTTGATAGTGTGTTTCCATAATGATGTTTCAAAGAATAAACTACATGTGGCTTTCATTTAATTATGGATTTCTTTCCATTTTACTACTCCTTTATTTGGATGGATTCAATCTTATGCAATATAATATTTTAATATAAAAGCCTTTTAACAATTCTTCATAGAAAAGTGGTGCCATTTTATACTCTTCAGGCTTAAGATGACATTAATCAGCCTCTTTCATTGTTGGAGAATTGTATTCATTCTTGTTCTCCTCTTGGTTTTCCTGCCTGTATTTGAATGAAGGAGTAATGTGTGTCTTCTCGGTTACTGTGTTCTTTGGGAGAGGCACTGACTGGGGCCGGCCATATAGAATAATACAGGCACCTCAGTTAACTCTTGGACTGCTAGCCCTTGTCATGTTCAGGCCATTTCTTCTTTTCATATTGTTAGATTGGGTAATAAATGTAGAACTACTGGCATTTAAGTATTTAGAACTAGAGAAAATAATCCTATTCTCTGCTATGTGTGAAGATGTATAAAGTATATATGCTGTAAAAATAAAATTACTTTGCAGTGATATGAGGACAAATTGATATTTTGACTTTTCAAAAGAAAGCCTTGAAAAACTAACCATGGTCTTATGTCTAATATTTCATGGTAAATTCTTCCATAGACTTATGAATCTGTAGTAATTTTACACATTAATCAGAAGACTATTAATGTGAATGATTGAATATTTTTACTTTTTTTTTGAGTAGAAACTTTTTTTCAGAGTGTCTTATCTGGCTTTTCTCTCTCCTCCCCACAAAAACCATCATCATGAAGGTCTGCTATTGATCTTGAAGAGATGGCATCTGGTCTTAACAAAAGAAAAATGATTCAGCACGCTGTATTTAAAGAACTTGTGAAGGTAAAAGTATCAGGATTGTGCTATATGATTCTCCATGGACTCCAGTGGGTAAAAATACATTAGCACCGCAAATAGGAGTACTGTTTCAGAATATTTTTTAATGTTTTTATAGAATATTCCTCTATTAAAAATATTAATTGAAGGATTATTAACTTTTCTAAAGGGGCCTATTTTTATTATAGAGTTTTCTGAATACAAAGTTCTGAGTATAGATATGAAAGGCCAGTACTGTTCCTGATTGATTGATACTCAGAAAAAGTCTAGTATCTCAGATGGTTGTATCATTTCATGTAGTCTTATAGACTATTTAATAAAAAAAGAAAATCAGACCTTAAAGAGCTCAGAGACTTTATCCAGTCATACTTATCAGTTTGCAGTTGAGAAAAATGAGACACTTAGTAAGTGGCCGACACAGGTCTGATCGCCAAACTCCTTGTAGGACTCCTCATTTTATTTCCAGTTTGCTTTTCATCTAGCCCCGAGGTCAGTGCGGGGTTTGTGAAAATTTCTATTTTTAGGGTTTGGCATCTGTAGGCAATTCTGGTGCATTAACTGCTTTGTTAAGAAGCATTTTTTGAGTACCTTCTTTATTCTCGGCAATATGTCAGATGCTGCTGATAGAGATAAATTAGACTGGTCCCTATACTCAGAAGCATATGGTCTAGAGCAATGATGTGCAAAACAAGGTCAAAACTTTTCATAACAATACTAAGACATTATTTGCCTTTTGTATTGTTTGATATTTGTGCCAGTAGTTCAAAAGCAATGGTGGGTAAAATTCCCTAGCATGAATTAAGGTCGGAGTACCAAACTATACTAGTAGTCATTATACTTTTTACTACTACACACTTGTTGTGGGAGGGGTGTGAAGCTGTTTTACTTAAGAATGCTCTTGATATCACAGACTGTACCCCTAAAAAAAAGAATGCCCTTGATGGAGCAGTAGAAGTTATTAGTTGTATTAAATCTTAACCTCTGAGTATATACATCTTTGTACGATTTTGTGGCATGAAATGGGAAGTACATAGAAAGCTTTTTTGCTGTATACTAAAATTTGATGGTGGTTTTGAGGAAGAGACACGTATGATTATTTGAGTGCAAGCTGAGCTAGCTGCTGCTTTCATAAAACACTGTTTTTACGTGAACAAACAACAGACAGGTAATCTGTGGTAATTCAGACTTGAATAAGATTTTCAAGTAAAGTGAGCCTGTCACTTTAAGGCAAATAAATAACTATATTGTGGCCAGTGAATAATTTGAGCTTTCCAGTGAAAACTAGAAACTTGGGGCGCTTGGGTGGCTCAGTGGGTTAAACCTCTGCCTTCGGCTCAGGTCATGATCTCAGGGTCCTGGGATTGAGCCCCGTATCAGGCTCTCTGCTCAGCAAGGAGCCTGCCTCCCCTCCCCACCACTGCCTGCCTCTCTGTCTACTTGTGATCTCTCTCTGTCAAATAAATAAATAAAATCTTAAAAAAAAAAAAGAAAACTAGAAACTTGTATCTCCACCATGAGTTTGACAGGATCCCAGTACATTTCTGATGCGATCAGTATTGATATAATAAATTTTCTTGTTGTGTAATGAAATTTGTCAGTGACTAATATGTGATGTTATAAAATCATGCACCAGTTGCATTCAAAGTTGCATTCAAAGTGCAAGATAGAATAACAGATTTTAATGGAATGGAGTGTGGAGTTTATATGGTTTCAGATTCTACATGGCAACTAACTTTAAAAAACTACTATAATTATAAAGGAATCCTGAGACTGAAAAGTACTGCTGTTTTAGGGTGCAGGAGGAATAGAAGTTAGATTTAGAAAATAATTAGTCACTAAAACACACATGTTCCAAATATAGATTCATAGAGAGCTGAGTGCTTCTGCTGTGAGATACGGAGACCGGGGTGAATGTAGGGTAGTGTGAGTATCTGAAAGGATCTAGAGGGAAGGAGAGTGAATATGTTTAAGATCGATTGTGCCTATTTCAGAAGTTTCCTTAAAGCTAGGCCTGTGCCTGGGAAAGAGATAACAAAATGTGTTCTCTTTTCCTGCCTTTGCTACCACATGGCTTTCCTTGAAATTCAGGTATAATACAGACCGTGTGACCTTATGGTATTGTCTCATATGGGTTTTGCAAACTTTTTCTTAAGGGCTAGATAGTTTAGGCTTTGTGGGCCATATGATTTCTGTTGCAGCTATCCCACTCTGCTGCTGTAGCACAAAAGCAGTAAATGAATGGGCATGGCGATGTTCCATAAAAACTTTACTCACACATAGTTTGCCAGTCTCTGATCTAGGGCATTATCTGCAATTATGGCTTTATTATGATGTGGAGATACATGCTTCCAGCTCTCAACAACTGACTTGCAAAGGAATTTTTTTTTTAAATGGACTCATGTATATCATTTGGGGGCTGTCCATATGCGAACCTTAATTTCCCACTGACTCATGAAATTGGCGATTATTTTTTACTGGCTCTAAATGTAACAACTTCATAGAACAGTAGGTCTTTGGCATTGGAAAATTTGACATCTGACTGACCTGGAAAATCTTTCACATGCAATTTGTAATTTTGCTCATACATAAACATTTATTAAACTGAACATGAAGATAGGTGTCCCAATATGGCAGCAACTAGCCCCGTGTAGTTACTGAGCACTTGTAATGTAGTTAGTCCACATTGAGATGTGTTATAAGTATGAAAAAGATGCCAAATTTGAAGACCTCGTATGGGGAAAAGGAATATAATATATCTCGTTAATTTTTAAATGTAGATTATATGTTGAAATGATAGCATTTTAATATATTGGACTAAATAAAGTATTAAAATTATTATCACTTATTTTCATTTTCTTTAATGTCATTACTAGCAATTTAAAAGTTCATATGCAGCCTGCACATATATTTTTATATTTCTGTACTGCTGATGCAGATTGCTCCTTTGGCTCTAACTTGGTCTCACTGTTCACATTCCAGCTTATTCTAAAAAAAATGTCTTGAGATCCTTTCTCTGAATTGGTTTGGGAGTATAGGTTTGCTTATGACTTTGCAGTGAATTATTTTATGTTCTTAAATTTCACTATGTGTGTACAAAGGGAAATAGTAAATTTGTATTGGAATGGTAGGATTATTGTTGCCTCTTATACTAAAATATCTTTAAATTATTTTTACAATTTAGAATTTGTGGAGAGAGGGGTTTTGAACATAAGCCTATGTTAACCTGATTTTATTTTAATTTTATTTTTGATACCTAGCTTGTAGACCCTGGAGTTAAAGCATGGACACCCACTAAAGGAAAACAGAATGTGATCATGTTTGTTGGATTGCAAGGGAGTGGTAAAACAACAACGTGTTCAAAGGTAAATTATACTTAGTCTTAAAAAAGAGTCATGGAGAACAGATGTTTGTATAAATCAAGTTTTATGTTAAAACCGGGCTAATATTGTTGCTTTACAGTTTTCTGTTACTCAGTATATTATTACATTTTTGTAATAGCCTTTTTTACAATAAGAAGGAATCCCAGAATCTCGCTTGTGGTTGTTTTTTTAAGAATGGAAGACTTTTCTATAACTATGCTGTTTCTTTTACCAAAGAGACTGGCCTACCCTTTAAGGAAGTGAGGATATAATTTTTGGAGAAGAGAACATGGAAAGTTTACCTTATTTCCCATGGTTCAAAGCTCCCTTTGTACAGTGTCCCACCCAGCATAATCTAGATCTTCATTTTACATATCCTTCTACTAATTTTTAATTCATTATACCACCTCTTTCTCCAGAATTGGGTGCCTCAGGTTTGTTACCAGATTTTGTTTCACAAGCCTAAGTTATGTTATAGTCTAGAAAAAAGAGAAGGGGATTATTTCTTAGAGGGTTATGTTATTGTTTGTTTTTATTAATTAACATTAAGTAACATTTTTCACTATGGTCATGTATTGCTTGATCATTTTATATCCTTTGAATGTTACTGGATGGCAGTTAGAATTTAAACTTGTTAGCAAATTTGCTGTATTCAGTAATGTAATAATAGGGGAACCTGGGTGGCTCAGTTGGCTGAGTGTCCAACTCTGGATTTCTGCTCAGGTCATGATCTCAGGGTCATGAGATTGAGCCCCGTGTCAGGCTCTGCCTGTGTGTGACACACACAGACACACAATGGAATATTATTCAGCCATAAAAAGAATGAAATCTTGCCATTTGCTATGACATGGATGGAATATTATGCTAAGTGAAATAAGTCAGAGAAAGACAAATACCATGTGATTTCACTCATATGTGGAATTTACTAATTCTTTTTAAAGATTTTGTATTTTATTTTTTTGACAGGGAGACACAGTGAGAGAAGGAACACAAGCAGGGGGAGTGGGAGAGGGAGAAGCAGACTTCCCACCAAGCAGGGAGCCCAATATGGGGCTAGATCCTAGGACCCTGGAATCCTGACCTGAACTGAAGGCAGATGCTTAACTGACTGAGCCACCTAGGTGCCCCTCATATGTGGAATTAAAAAAAAACGAAACAAACAAAGGGGGTAGAAAAGAGAGAGAGACACAAACCAAGAAACAGACCCTTAATTATAGAGAGCAAACTGCTGGTTACCAGAGGGGAGGTGGGTGGGGGGGATGGGTGACACAGGTGATGGGGATTAAGGAGTGTATTTGCTATGATGAGCACCAGGTACTGTATGGACACGTGGAATCACTATATTGTACCCCTGAAACCAATATTGCACTGTATGTTGACTGACTGGAATTTCAAACAAAAACTTAATGTAATAATATTACTTTCAGGAGAATATGAGGAGTTTTACTTTAATCTTTAAATAACAAGGGTAAACAGAAAAAATTGTGTGTATAATTCATTGTTATTTATACTCTATTTTTTAAATGTTCTTTTCCCAGTTAGCATATTATTACCAGAGGAAAGGTTGGAAGACCTGTTTGATATGTGCAGACACATTCAGAGCAGGTAATGTGTTGAAATTTGAAAACTGTTCTCTGAAATTTTTATTTTCAAGTTTTAGGACTCATTAACTCTTTATCTTATAGGTGCTTTTGACCAACTAAAACAGAATGCTACCAAAGCAAGAATTCCATTCTATGGAAGGTGGGTTCTGGTTTTTCTTTTGGTACTCCCTCATGTGTCTCATCTTGTCTGAGCTTTTATTTTATGCTACCTGGTCACATTTTAATATTTACTTAGAAGTTTGAATCTTCGGGGCACCTGGGTGGCTCAGTGGGTTAAGCTTCTGTCTTCAGCTCAGGTCATGGTCTCAGGGTCCTGGGATCAAGCCCCGCATCGGACTCTCTGCTCAGTGGGGAGCCTGCTTCCCCCTCTCTCTCTCTGCCTGCCTCTCTGCCTGCTTGTGATCTCACTCTCTGTCAAATAAATAAATAAAAATCTTTTAAAAAAAGTTTTGATCTTCTTAGAACAAAGTGGGGATATAATTAATAAATTGTTATCTTTTATTATGATAACATGACTGTTCTGATCCAGCCTGATAGATCAAAGTGGACATTGTTTAGTTTACAATCTGCCTGTGCTTACCATCCTGCCTTGTATGCTTTCTCACTTGGTTCCCTATTCCTACTGTTTCTTTTAAGACCTATCTGAAGCATTCCTGGATTAAACACACTGGGGAATTCTGTCTTTTCTTTAGTACATAATTTTAAAAAGCTTGTGTTTGATCATCCTAAAATAGCTTAGAATTTATAATTATCTCAGAGAGAGAGTCTCATCATTGCAGTCTTTCATTTGATAGAATAGTTCAGTTACGAGTTTATACATGTTAGAATGATTAATGAAAAGAACTAAGTCTAGATTGAATTTAGGACTTTTTCAGGGGGTAGCATTTTTCTTAACATTATTCATATAATTGGTTTCTTAGAAAGTTAAAACAAGCTAAAATTGGAGGTAATTTAATGAATGATATCATTTTGTTAGTCACTGCCCTCTCCTTTTTGGCTAGCCAGAAATGCTAATGAACTTCGGCTTATCCAATATTCTTTATTTAAAATTTTTTTTCTCTCAGGTTTTATGATTTCTAATAGGTAGATTAGAGAATAATGTTTGGAATTTTATTTTTAGGATAAGAACTATTTCTAATAATAGATTTAAAAATCAAGCGGTAAGAAAGTATCAAGGGATAATATAGTTATATCCTTAGGGTTCAAAATTTGTAAATAATTTAGCTGATAATTAACTATTGGCCAAAGCCAGAGCATTTTTAAACAGTATTCTCCATACCATTAATTAAATAATTTCTCCTTTGCTCATGTAAATTTAAGAAACATAATACACATATGGAGTAAAATATTAGTGATCGTTGTTTCCTCCGGGAGGACTGAAGGATGTGGGACTGAGGAAGAATTTGAACTGCATCTCTGCTGTTCAGTTTACATATTAAGCATCTATTTTGGGGGGGATATATACAGAACTGTTTGTTATATTATCATTTGTTCTGTATTTTTTTAAAAATCTATATTGCTTAAAATTTTTGAAGAAGTGAAAGCACTAACAGTTTCACTTCCCAGTTTTTAGCACATCCACTTGTGCTGTTTTTCTTTTTCTTTTTTTTTTTAAGATTTTATTTATTTATTTGACAGACAGAGATCACAAGTAGGCAGAGAGGCAGGCAGAGAGAGGGTCTCTCTGCTGAGCAGAGAGCCTGAGGCGGGTCTTGATCCCAGGACCCCAGGATCATGACCTGGGCTGAAGGCAGAGGCTTTAACCCACTGAGCCACCCAGGCGCCCCCTTGTGCTGTTTTTCAATGTTAGTACAAATGAATACACAGATATAGTTAGATAATTTTAAATTGAAATGGCGTCTATACGGCTTTTGTACTTTGTTGTGATAATGGTTATATGTAAATTTGTCAAAACTCATCAAAATGAACACTTAAAATGGTGTGTCTTACTGTGTATCTGTAGACTACTATAGAGTTGATTACAAATGGGATCTTACTGACAAGATTGTGACTACTCTTGGGAGGGAGTGTGGTGCTGGTTCTGTTGTTTCTTGATCTGGGTGTTTGCTTTGTGAAAATTCACTGAGTTTACAGTTTGTGCAACTTTTCCATATAAATGTATTATACTTCGTTAACACATTTATTTAAAAAATGGGATCTTAATAATTCTGGAATAGACCATATACTGTTTAAGGTAATTCTTTTTTATGACATCATTGCAGTTCCATTGTATACTTGTATATGATATGTTTCTTTGTACATTTATAAATTTTAATTGTTTTTACCATTTAAAAATAGCTGGTAATGGTAATCTCTTTTTTTTTTTTTCAATATTCTCACCTGTTTATTTTCCTAGATTAAATTTTAAAATTACTCATTAAGTTCAAAAATCTCCCTAAAGTTTGATTGGAACTACATTGAAACCAATTAACTTAGTGGAGAGCTGACACCTTTACTATATTTGTTCTGTTGAGTTTGAGAACTTTCTATGTCATTTTTGCTTTAAAATTTTATGTCCTTAAATATAGCAATTTTCTTCATTTAAAACTCACGTATTTTCTTATTAAATGCCTTCCTACCTGATTTTTTATTCTTAATGTAGGGGGAAAACTTTTTTTTAACATGTCTTTTCATTTGACAGTATTGATCTGTGTAAAATGTTGTTCCTTCTGAAAACGGTACAGATTAAAATGGGATCTCGTTTCTTGATTTTCAGGTAGAAAAGATATTTGAGGATTGTGAAAATGTGGTTATATCAGGACTGTGGTTATATTAGGAATGAAATTAAACTTATATGGAAGACATTTTCCTTTTAGAAACCAAAAGCGTACCCATTAAATATAATAACATTCATATTGTAGGAGTCCCAGAAGAAGAGAGAGAAACGGGGGCAGATTATTTGTTGTAGGAAATAATAGTTGAAAACTTTTCTAACCTGGGGAAGGAAACAGACTTCCAAATCCTGGAAGCCCACAGAACTCCCATCAAATTTAACAAAAAAGAAATCAAATGCCTTAATTATCAGATCATTTGATTCAAATTCAAGGTGTAAGAGTATGTCATAACAATTTCAAAGAAACAGCATTATGATCTCTTTATATATTGGCTATATTTTTAATACTAAGAAATTGGAAATATTTCAAATGACCAACAGTAGGGCATTTATTTAATAAATGATAGTATAACCATATGATAGAATGTTATACAGCCTAAAAGTCATGTTTTACAAGAATATTTAATGTTTTTTTAAAAAGATTTTATTTATTTATTTGACAGAGAGAGAGAGTGAGAGGGGTAACACAAGTAGGGGGAGCGGGAGAGGGAGAAGCAGTTTCCCTGCCAAGCAGGGAGCCCAATGTGGGGCTCGATCCCAGGACCCTGGGATCATGACCTGAGCCGAAGGCAGACGCTTAACGACTGAACCACCCAGGCACTCCGGAATATTTAATGGTTTTATAAAATGCTTACAAAAGGGTGTTAAATGGGAAAGCATATGTAAAATAATAACTTATTAAAGGAAATATAAAAAGTATTAGAGGGAAGCACAACTCATTCAAGATAAGACATGAAGCAGAATCACATAGAATTTTGTAATTGGAAAACGATTGCTCTGTGCTCCTCTAGGAGTGGTTTGCTATCTTTATTTTTATTTTTTATTGTTTTGTTTGCTGTTTTTAATATTTATTAGATTTTATACTTCTAAATTGAAATTGTGATCATTATGACTTTTTCTGAATAAAGGTATATCAGCAATTGCCAAATTATTAATATTTGAAAGTTTTGTTCTGCAGTTGTCATTAAATCACTTTTCCTTGTTAAATAGCTATACAGAAATGGATCCTGTTATCATTGCCTCTGAAGGAGTGGAGAAATTCAAAAATGAAAATTTTGAAATTATTATTGTTGATACAAGTGGTCGCCATAAACAGGAAGACTCTTTGTTTGAAGAAATGCTTCAAGTTGCTAATGCTATAGTAAGTAACTTTGAATTTAACCCACTGAGCCACCCAGGTGCCCATAACTTTGAATTTAACAACACTGTAAGGATTTGGTTAATTTAAGTATAACCCCTGATTGAGTTTAAGATCCATATAAATTATTTTTTGTCTGTACAGTAGATTCCAAGTAATTTATTTCTGTGTTCGGTGTGTGTATCTGTATGGTAAGGATTTAATCTTCTCTACACTAGATATGAAATTTTCCTGAGTATGTATCAAAAAAATTGTCCTTTGTCAATCATCTTACTGTATATATAAGAAAAACAAGAAACAAAAATTGAGAATTGTCCTTTAATCTCTGTTGAAATTTTTTTTTAAGAATGCTTTATTCGGCTTTATAGCCTCTGTTACTAGGACAGTCTCTCTCTCTCTGTTTTTTTTTTTTAATTTTATTTATTTGAGAGAGAGAGGAAGTGAGAGAGAGAAGAAGCAGGGGGAGAGGTAGAAGAAAAGGGAGAAGCAGACTCCTGTCTAAGGGAGCCTGACATGGGGCTTAATCCCAGAACTCCAGGATCATGACCTGAACTGAAGGTTCTAAGCCACCCAGGTACCCCATCTACTGAATTTTTTTTTTTTAAGATTTTAAAAATTTATTTATTTATTTATTTAAAAGATTTTATTTATTTATCCGACAGACAGAAATCACAAATAGGCAGAGAGGCAGGCAGAGAGAGAGGAAGGGAAGCAGGCTCCCCACCGAGCAGAGAGCCTGATGCGGGGCTGGGTTCCAGGACCCTGGGATCATGACCTGAGCCGAAGGCAGAGGCTCTAACCCACTGAGCCACCCAGACGCCCCGGATTTTATTTATTTATTTGAGAGAGAGAGTAAGAGAGAGGGACAGCATAATCGGGGTCAGAGGCAGAAGGAGAGGGAGAAACAGACTCCTGCTGAGCAGAGAGCCCAATGCGAGGACCTATCCCAGGACCCTGGGACCGCGACCTGAGCTGAAGGCAGACGCTTAACCGACTGAGCCACTCAGGCACCCCTTTTATTGACTTTTCTTACTGTAAATTATTTAAATTAAATTGGGACATTTACTTCAGACGAATTTTGAAAGATTTTCAAAATGAAGCATTTAAAAATGTTAATGATCGTTTAGTCTCTTTAAAACTGTGATGGAAATAACTTAGGTATACAAAATACATTTGTAGAATGTATTTTGCCCATGAACCCTTGTTTTGCTGTTGAGAAGTTGGCAGTAATTCTTTGGCTAATGGTTAATGCCAACAAGTTTCTTTTTAACCGTGCCATTATTTTAACCTAGTTGAGCCGAACTAAGGGAAATAACCTCACGTGTTTCACTCATTTTGGTTTTAGTGCATACTTTTCTACTTTTTTCCTCTTACTTTTAGTATTCCCTTTGCCTAGAATGTGATTCCTCCAGATTTTTGCATAACTTCTTCCCTCTTTATTCTGGCCTCATCTCAGATGTTATCTCTGGAGAGATCCCTGCTGGCTGCCCTACCTAAAGAAGTCTCCCACACCTCAAAACTGATACTCTCTATCCCATTTTCATTGTTGTACATCTGAAATGTTGACTTGCCCATTTATTATCTGTCTCTTCTGACTAGAATATAAGTCTCACAAGGACAAGGATTTTTCTTGTTTATCTCTTAGTCTCAGGACCTAAATGGTGCCTAATACATAGTACAGTATTCCCTCAATTAATATTTATTAATTTAATGAATAATTATTTATAAGAAGTGTGTTTGTGTAGCTTCTAATGATGACATTTGCTTAAGAGAGGTAAAAATATGTATCTTTCTTTAAATTTTCTAGCAACCTGATAACATTGTTTATGTGATGGATGCCTCCATTGGGCAGGCTTGTGAAGCCCAGGCAAAGGCTTTTAAAGATAAAGTAGATGTAGCCTCAGTTATAGTGACAAAACTTGATGGCCATGCAAAAGGAGGTGGTGCACTCAGTGCGTAAGTGTCATTAATGCTATTGTCCTGTGTCTTGGGCTTATATGGTGTTTGTGTGTGTGTGTGTGTGTGTGTGTATTTATGGCTTTCTTATTGATCATTTAAAATATATTTTAATATATACTCCAACTTAAAAACTTTTTAAAAAATAGGATATATTCCAGTAGTGGACCAAAATATGGTCTGTAAAAGAAGTTTAAATAGAAACAGAATTTTTGAGTCTTTCTGATACTGTTCTGTTTTAACAAGTGAAAAACTTGGAACTGTGTACTTTTGTCTAATTACTTTGGTATCTGCTAGAAATTTGTTTGCCTTTTTGAGATCATCTTTTGTTTTCTTTTTCTTTGCAGTGTTGCTGCCACAAAAAGTCCAATTATTTTCATCGGTACAGGGGAACACATAGATGACTTTGAACCTTTCAAAACACAGCCTTTCATCAGCAAGCTTCTTGGTATGTACAGTGGTGGGGATATAGAGAAGTCTCCAAGAAATAGCATGGATCTTTAGGACAGATAATCGGATTTTAATCCCACCCTTTCATTGACTAGTTTAGGAAAATCATCGCCTTCTACAATTTATCTTCCTCACCTGTAAAAAGTAAGGATGATGGTTTTCTGCTTCTTGTGGTGAGAGTGGTAGAATGAGCTATTAGATGGAAAGTTCTTTGGAAAAGTTTTAGAGCACAATACAAAAATATGTAGTTTTGGTAATAGCAGGGGGAATGGCAGTAAAACTTTTTGTACCAGGTAATAGAGAGCATGGAATTGGAATAAAACCTTGGGCTAGAGTCCCTGCTTTGTCATTTAACCTCTGAAGGTTCAGTTTTCTCATCTGTAAAGTATAGTAGGAACATCTGCCCTACTCTCTCACAGGAGTATTATCTGGGGGCATGTATTTTTTTTTATAATGTAAAGCATATATTATTGTTAATTTTTCTTTTTTTGGGTCTTGTAGGTATGGGCGACATTGAAGGACTGATAGATAAAGTCAATGAATTGAAGTTGGATGACAATGAAGCACTTATAGAGAAGTTGAAACACGGTATATGAGAAGCAAAAGCATTTGCTCTCAGATGTCTTTCCATGATTTCTTTTTGATAAAGCTACTGTTAATTTGTTTGAAATGATAAATCTATTATTACAGTTCATCAAATGTTTATTATATGCAAATCATTTAAAATCTCAGATACGTGAACAATTGTAGAATTGAGTGTTTTTGTTTTCTTCCTTGTAATCAAATTGCCTTAAGGTTAAAATTAAGGTTTTCATTGGGTTTCTTGAAGTAGAACAGGTTAAATGTAAGTTGGAACATTTTTCTAATCTGTTTACTTATAAATTAAAAAATTTTTTTGTTTACTTATAAATTATGTGTGCGTATATATGTATATATATAATATATAATAAAATATAAAGAAATTTGAAAGAATGAAATAAAGCACACACATTTTTTCACATCACATTAAGGACCACTTCTGTAGAACATATATGTTGTGATTAAGAGCTCAAGTTCTTAAATCTAACACACCTGAATTTATATCTGATCTATTTTTTAGCAATGTAACTTTTTCAAATTAACCTTTATTTCTTTATCTGTAAAAAGTAGGTAATAGTAAGTCTCTCCCTCATAGAATTATGAGGATTAAATCAGTTGATACATATAAAATCAGGAGCTTTCAACATATATTATTATGGACCATTTCTATCACATACTATCTTGCCTCTCTGCTCTTTCTCACTTGTCAGTTACCGACGCCTTTATCTCTCTCTTAAATGTTGGTGTTCTTCAGGGATCAATGCTAGGCCATCTTCTTTTCTCTGGAGCTTCAGACCGTTATCTGTATGTTTACTAGACCATTCTTGGATGTTCCATCCATACTTCAAATTCAGCATATCCGTATCTACCCATCCTACTGTCTTACCGGATTGTTATCTTCAATGAATGCTAATGTCTTGTTGCCAGAGGCAGAAACGGGTGTTGTGGACTCTTTCTTACTTCTTCCTCACTCTGCCCTTTCCTTTTGCCATCAGTCAACTGGCCTAGTAAGTCCACCTCCTAAATATCTTCGTTCCATTCCCTTCTCTCCAGCTCCTTCAATTATGCAAGTTTATCTCTTGCCTAGATTGTTTATTCTAACAATCTTCCTGTTTCTTGGATTCTTCCCCTTGGATCTATTTTTAATACTGTAGCTAAATGATCTTTGAAAAATGCAAGTCTGATCCCATTACTGCCTTTCTTAAAAATCTTTCGGTGGCTTCCCATTGCCTTTAGGATGTTTTTAAATGACACTACCATTGGGGTGCCTAGCTGGCTCAGTTGGAGGAGCATGTGACTCTTGATCTAAGAGTTGTGAATTTGAGCCCTATGTTGGGTGTAGAGATTAAAGTCTTAAAAAAAAGACTCTACCTTCTGGCCACATCTTCTGTAACTTTTTTTTTTTTTTTTTTTTTAGATTTCATTATTTGACAGAAAGTGAGAGAGCAGAAGTAGGCAGAGCAGCAGGCAGAGGGAGAGGGAGAAGCAGGCTCTCCACTGAGCAGGGAGCCCAATGCAGGGCTCGATTCCAGGACCCTGGGATTATGACCTGAGCTGCAGGCAGCCGTTTAACTCACGCCACCCATGCACTCCCTTCCGTATCATTTTTGATGCTGTTCTTAACATTTCATGTGCCGGCAGGCTAAATTTCACTCAGCTTCTCAAATGTACATTGCTATCTGTCACCTCTGTGCCTTTGCCTGTTAGACAGGTGTACTCTCATCTTCCAACTTCCACCCTCCTCTCCCCAGCTGTACTGGCTAACTCCTACTCATACTTCAGTCTCTCCTTCTTTGGGACACTTTACCTGATCCCTGGACTGAGTTAAAACTCTCTGCTTTATGTTTCCATTGTACCCTATAATTTTTGTATTGTTCATCACAATTACTAGATATCTGACTTCCCTGCTTGAAGATGTAGGTAAGTTTCATAGCTGTATTCCTCACCTTTTAAGTTTATAGTACCTATTTCTGGCACTTCGTAGATCTTTAATAAATATTTGTTGTACAAATGATTCTATCCCTCATTGCCAGGTTCTTTTCCCCACCTTCCTCTCTACTGGAGAGCCCTACCAGTACTTCCACCACCACACTAAACTATATCCCTAGTCAGTCTACTTTTTGACTCTTAGGTCTCTTCCTGTATCTGCATTTTGCTTCTGCTCTTAGCATTCTACTATTTCTGAGGTCACCAAGGGCAAAAGTAGTAACCTTTCTTTTTTACCTTGGTTCCCAATATTTGTTATCTTTCTTTTGTTTTCAAACTCTTCACTTGGGTTCCATGACAGTGGATTTCATCTGCTGTCATGGCTTCAGTGGTCCCTTCTATATAATGGCCAAATGTGTATTTCAGCCTTAACTTTTTCTACCATTGTTTATTTTTGCATTTCTAGCTGTCTGCTCTAACATTTCCTTTAAAATATTGTACTGCCCCTTAAATTTAACAGAACGGCAAAACCCAAATACCTTTTCTAGTTATATCTTTAGGACATAAACAGAAAATACTCTGGATTGTTGTTGTTGTTGTTAATTTAAGTTCATTTACACATAGTGAAATGCTTGGTTCCTAAGGATATGATTCTGTCAATTTTGACAATGCAGAATAACCCATATCCATCAGGAAACAACATTTCCATTAACTACAAAGTTTGCTCATTCTCCTTCCCAGTAAGTACATCATATTGTAAAACTCCTAGAGTTATGTCCTTTCTCCCACCCTCCCCCCACCTAGTTTCTTTGATTGAGCATAAATTTTTGACATTCATCCATTTAGTTGTGTGTACTTGTAGCTTGTTCTTTTGTTGCTGGGTAGTATTTCATCCACAGTCTATCACTTTCCTGTCCTATGGACAGCCAAGTTGTTTAGGAAAAGGCAGACAGTCTTCTAAAGTGTCTTGCCATTTTTCATTCTCAGCAACATGTGAGAGTTCTTCTTGCTCCATATCTTTAACTTTTGGTGCTGTCAGGCTTTTTAGTCATCCTAGTGGGTAGAGTTGGGTTGCCTTGTTTTCAAGGTTTTTGCATATTTGTTTTTGTCTGTCTTCTCTGATAGAATGTGAGCTTCTCTAGGACAGAATCTGTGTTATATTCTACAGTGCATTCACCCTATGATCTTGCCCCTAGTGACTGCTCAGGAATGTTTATCAGTTGGATGTTTTACAAGTGTGCTTCAGGATGAACCCATGACTAAGGAAAAGATTAATTTTATTGAATGGAAATGTACATTCTCTAATATATCTGAACCATTTATATTGTATTTCAGGTCAGTTTACGTTGCGAGACATGTATGAACAATTTCAAAATATCATGAAAATGGGCCCCTTCAGTCAGATCTTGGTTAGTTATCCTAAAAGTTTTTTTTTTCTTTCTTCTTCTGCTTTTCATTAAAAATTTTAAAAATAGATGCATTTGCTTTTATTATTTTTGCTGTTTGGGTAAAAAAATTTTAAAAACTTAGTGTCAAAAATAAAGCCAATAGTTAAATGTGAACATTCTGAACAATTTATTTTCAAGCTATTGTTGATTTTTGTGTTGAAATATATTTATTTCAGGGGATGATCCCTGGTTTTGGAACAGACTTTATGAGCAAAGGAAATGAACAGGAGTCAATGGCAAGGCTAAAGAAATTAATGACGATAATGGATAGTATGAATGATCAAGGTAAGATGGCAGATTATTTGATTTAGAGGACAACGTTCTGAATATTTGCAAGTGGATAGTTTCACTGTGTTCTTGTGGACAAGATGGGGAAAAATTTTAGACTAGAAGATTATTGGTAGATAGATTTATAGCTGTTTGGAAGCTCTTATTCAAAGGGTTATGACTATTGGATTGATTTCATAAAAATGTCTAGTACATTTCCGAACACTCTCCCAAGTGTTCTCCAGAGAACGCTCGTTCTCCTTGATGATGATAGAAATAACTTGAGAGTTCCGTAGTCAAATGAATGTGAGGGAATTCTGGGTTAAAAAACTATTAAGTTTATTTATTATAAGTCTCCTCAGAATAGTCATATGCTAACATGAATTGGGAATCTGTAAGAGATAGTTTAAGAAGGTTTACAAACTTACTTGGCATTGAAGCTCTCAAGGTTTCAGTCTTGTTTTTTTTTAGAGGGAGAGAGAGTGTGTGTGTGCACAAGTTGGGGAGGAGTGAGCAGAAGAGGGAAAGTATACCCTCAATAAAATCCTTTCCTGTATCTCCAGTCTCTTCTTACCTACTGACTTTTTTCCCCCATCAGCATATAAATATTCTTAAGTTCAGGTTTTCTGGGCTATCCTCCCTCATGCTTTTTTATTCTTTTTTTTTTTCTCTTTTCAGCCAAACTTCTTAAAAGAACAGTTTGTATTTTTCTCAAACTACTGAAATCTAACTTCTTTCCCCACCACCACATGGAAACAGATCATAAAAAGATTTCCAGTAACCTACTGAGCTGCTCCAGTGGATTTTTTTTCAGTCAGTCTTTTTCTTGACCTTTAAACATTGGCTGTTGTTAATTACCTTTTTTTCAGTCTTCTGTTATGCCATCTCACTAATTTTACCCTTACCTTTCTTGTTAACCCAGTTACTTTTTCAGCCTGCCCCTAAAATGACTGTATACTACAGGTTCTGTCCTCAGCCAATGTTTCTTCTCATTCTGCTCATTTTTTTTGAATAATTCATCCACATCTATACTTTCTCTGTTGCTTGATCGATTATTTTTTTGTAGTCTCTACCTCTTTCCTGAGCTCTAGGCTTTCGTAGTAACCCAAATAAGATTGTGTCTTTCTCATCTGTGTGTCTTCAACACTACAAAAAGTTTTGTAGGTAGAATTAATAATTACAGCCATATCTAGAGTATTTACTCTCTCCTGAGCTTTTTATATATATTAACCCATCTAATCATCATAGTAACTCTCAAGGGACAGTTCTGGGGTTAAAATCCATTTTTATATAGCTTTCGCAGATTAGGAAATTGAGATACAGAAAGTTGAGTTGTTTGCTCAAGGATGCTAACTACAGAGTGGAGAGACTGGGCGTCAAACTCAGGCATTCTGGCTCAAGAGTCTGCACTCTGGACCACCTCTTTTCTAGATGCTCACTAAATGGTGGACATACATCTCTATTTATAAGTTTGAAAGTTTTCTGAGGTATGGATCCAAAATTCAGTTTTCTCCCTTGGGGAATGACACTTCCATCTATCTGATAGATACCTATCTACTCAAGTCACCCAACCTAGAAACTGGGGTCAACCAAGATTTATGTCCTTGCTGATTTTCTGTCTAGTTGTTCTATTGATTATGGAGATGAAGGTATTGAAGTGCCTAGCTCTTCTCCTTAGTTCTATAATTTTTTTTGTCAGGTAAGCTCTTTTGTTGGGTACAGTACACACTTAGAATTGTTTTGTCTTCTTGGTAAATTGACCTTTTTGTCATTTGTATGTAATGTCCTCCTTTGTCCGTCGTCTGTTTTGTCTTATATTAATAGAGCTTTCTTTTAATCAGTTGTTTGGATTGTTTATCTTTTTCTATCTTTTTTACTTCTAACCTGTCTGCATCATTACATTCGAAGTGAGTTTTAGTCAACAGCATGTAATTGAGTTATTTTTTTCTATTAACACATTCCCATACACTCTCTTTTAACTGATACATTATTGATATATTAGGATTTAGTTCTGTCAAATTAATTTTTGTCCTGTTTGTTCCTTGCAAGTTTTGTTTTTCTGATTTTTTTCTTTTATATGTTCCTGTGAGTTACTTGAATGTTATTTAGTATTCTATAAATATTATAGAATAATAATTATTATTTATAGGTTATTTAATACATATAGTTTTTCTGAATATATATTTTTAAAGATTTTATTTATTTATTTGACAGAGATCACAGAGGCAGAGAGGCAGGTTGGGGGGGAGCTGGGAAGCAGGCTCCCTGCTGAGCAGAGAGCCTGATGCGGGACTTGATCTCAGGACCCTGGGATCATGACCTGAGCCGAAGGTAGAGGCTTTAACCCACTGAGCCACGCAGGCACCCCCTGAATATATTTTTAGAAATAATTTTCTTAATGGTTGCTTTAGGTATTACAATATGCATACATATTGAACTGCCTGGTATTATAATATGCATATGTATTTAGCTTATCACAGTTTACTTCTAATAGTATTTTACCACTTCTAGTGGAATATAGGAACCTTAACATTACCTTAGGTTTAGTGAGTTCCATTTCCTAAATAGTTCTTATATCTTCCCTCTTTCCTTTGTTTCTGAGTTAGTTCATACACTCATCATTTCTTAACCTAGATTGTTATATAGTAGCTTCCTAACATTTACCTTTCGATTTTATCACTTCTCTTACCAATTTGTCTTCCTCACTGACACAATAATGGCCTTTCTAAACAAAAAATTCTGGGATCGGGGCGCTTGGGTGGCTCATTTGGTTGAGCATCTGACTTGGTTTCCGCTCAGGTCATGATCTCGGGGTCATGAGATTGAGCCCTATGTCAGGCTCTTTGCTGGGTGTGGAGCCTGCTTAAGATTCCCTCTCTCCCTCTGCCCCTCCCCCTGCTAGAGAGCTCGTATGCTCTCGCTTGCTCTCTCTCAAATAAATAAATAAATAAAATCTTTAAAGAAAAATTCTAGGGTCAGACTCTTTCAGTGACTTTTTATTGTTGTCATAATGAATTCCAAACTCCTAAGCCTGGCATACAGATCCTGTTATAATCTTGTCCTTACCTACTTTTGCAACTTTATAAAATCTCAGCTCTTATCCAAGCTTCATTTCTTCTACACAAAACTATTTTTATTCTAGAAATCCCATGTTCTGTTTCGTAGAATGTCCCTTGCTTCTTTCTCTTATTGAACTCCTATTTGTCCTTTAGAACTACTCAATTAAAGAAGAACCATCAGCATGGAACCTTCCTGACTTCCTTTCTTCTTTAAATTATGTCCCCTTCTGACTTTCATTTAATTCTGTCATAACGACTTACCATGATGTGCTGTCATAGCTTGTCTTTTCACTTCACTCCACTTTAGCTGTTAGAATACATATTTCCTAAATATTTTATAGTGAAGGTGTGGCTTAAAAGCTGCATTTATGAGATGGATTTAGGTTTTAATGGCTGTAAATTTATTATGAGATAATGGGCTCCTTATTTACATTGTACTGGATTTCAGTTTACTTCTGGACTATATGCTTAGAGGGCATAGACAAATTAGAAAATATTAGGAAATCAGGATAATAAATGGAGTTCTGGGGGCACCTGGGTGGCTTAGTTGGTAAGCATCTGCCTTCGGCTCAGGTCATGATCCCAGGGTGCTGGGATCGAGCCCTACGTTGGACTCCTTGCTTGGTGGGGAGGCTGCTGCTGCTTCTCCCTCTGCTGCTCCCCCTTGCTTGCACTTCCTTTCTCTCTCTTTCTTTTTTTCCTCCGTCAAATAAAAATAAAATCTTTTAAAAAAAATAATAAATGGAGTTCTATACCATGTTATAAGAGAAACAGTCAAAAGATTTGGGAATTTGTAACCTAGAGGAAATTCACCAGAGACTTGGTAGCTCTCAAATATTTGAAAGCCTCATTCTTTGTGCCTGGCAAGGAGACACATATGCAAATAGGAAGAGGTGCCAGGCAAATTTGTTTTATTTTAATATGTGAAAAGATTTTCCATAATTACAGGTATGATAGAATGGCATAGATTACTGTATTTTAGATACTAGATAGTGGGTCATCTGGGCACATTAAGACTGAGGCTAGATGACCATTTATTGGGGGATGTTGTAGAGAGAATGCAGATGTAATAGAAACTTAGACTAAAGTCTGTCGCATTCCTGAGATTGTATGCAGTGAAAGCCAGAAGAAATGCACCTCGTATTCTAAGAGTTATAAAAACACTGGGGGGAATTAACTCACTCTATGTCACAGAAAGGATTAAAATACTAGTAGTAATTATATGGAAAAGATTACCATTATTCTGTTGATGATAGAACTTACTTATTTCTGTTGCTTAGATGCCTAAATTTATTATTTAAATGTTAATAGTTATTTAGAGCTAAAGCAAGCACTTTTCTTTTTTTGAAATATACCTTATACTTCTAGTATGCTCTGAGGGGCAGTTGGATATGAGATATGGAAAAGGTGGACATGGGTTTTAAAGGTTTTCAAATGTTCTATTTTACTTAAATGGTGGAGTGAGTACATGTGTATTTTTTATTGTTTTTGTAGCTTACAAATATTATAGATGTTCTTTTGAATACAGTTTATGTTTAATGTTTAAAAATGGGTTAAGCCTCTGCCTTTGGCTCAGGTCATGATCTCAGGGTTCTGGGTGGGGAGCCTGCTTCCCTCTCTCTCTCTGCCTGCCTCTCTGTCTAATTGTGATCTCTCTTTCTCTGTCAAATAAATAAATAAAATTTTTTAAAAAATCAGATGCAAACATGGCAGGTGATAACATTTGTTAAATCAGGTGGTGGTTTTACCATTTTATTTTTGTGTGTATAGTATTTGTACATAACTGTTTTAATAATGAATGTTAAGTGTATGTAAATGAAAGTAATCTTTGTCTACAGAACTTGACAGTACTGATGGTGCCAAGGTTTTTAGTAAGCAACCAGGAAGAATCCAAAGAGTAGCAAGAGGATCAGGTGTGTCAACAAGAGATGTTCAAGAACTTTTGACACAATACACCAAATTTGCACAGATGGTAAAAAAGATGGGCGGTATCAAAGGACTTTTCAAAGGTAAGAAAAATAACAGACTCCTCATTAGTTAACGTAGTGAAAGTAAAGAAAGAAGCTGAAACACTAAAATTAAAGCCGGGGAGTACTGCAAATATTGGGAAACATATTGCTGAATTTCATGTTCTAGTTAAGAACTTCTTGAATGTGATCTGTGATTTCTCTGTTTTCAGATTCAAGGTAATAAACACTAATTAAAAAACAAACAATGATTTTCTTTTTATGAAGATGTAATACATATTAAAGAAAATTTAGACAGAATAAGAAAGTATATGAAAAAAACTTAAAACACCCATTATCTTATCTCCCCAGAGAATCCTGTGGGTCCCATTGCGAATGGGACTATACCTAATGCTTTCTTCTGAAGCATCATGACTTATTTTTCTATATTGCCAAATATTCTTTAGAATATAGCTTTTAATCACTGAATATTCTTCAGGTTATGCTTGTATCTTTGTTTTCTGCAGTGGATATTTAGGCTGGCTCATTTGCTTCTGTATTAGTATCAGTTCTGTCATTAGTTCCTGTGTGGTCTTCTGGGAAGCCAGGGGTTTTGTCTGTTTAATCAGATTACATAGTAGACGCTGAATGAATTTTGTAATAATTTACTGTTTCCAATTTAATGATCAAATGTTTCTTTCAGTAGGTGTTTTTAGATTACTACTCAAGTTTAACATCTCTTTATACATTTATTAGTTTGGATTCCCTTTGTGAATCACCCCTTAGGTTCCTTGTTCATTTGTCTCATTTTTCCCCCCTGTTGCTTTGTAGTAACTCTTGAAAATCCTTGGTTTAGGTCTGCAAGTATTTTACCCACTATTCATTTGCCTTTTATTTTTATTTGTATTTTTTAGTGAATGGAAGCTTTTATTTTTAATGTAGCCCAGACTATTTATCATTTTCTTTTATTTCTGTTATGCTCAGAAAAACCTTCGCTGTGCTGATAAAATACCCACCTACATTTTCTACTTGTTTGGATGTTATTTTTTAGGTTTCTAACTTTTTTTTATTTTTTTTATTTTTTTTATTTTTTATTTTTTTTTAAAGATTTTATTTATTTATTTGAGAGCGAGACAGTGAGAGAGAGCATGAGCAAGGAGAAGGTCAGAGGGAGAAGCAGACTCCCCATGGAGCTGGGAGCCCGATGTGGGACTCGATCCCGGGATTCCGGGATCATGACCTGAGCTGAAGGCAGTCGTCCAACCAACTGAGCCACCCAGGCGTCCCTAGGTTTCTAACTTTTTATCTCATCTTAAATTTATTTTGCTGTGTACTGTGTAAGGTCAAAAGATAAGTTTACTTTTCTAATTGTCCTAGCCCTCTCTTAAAATTTTTTTTTCTGTATTACAAACACTATTAAAGTGAATTTATTATCTCAAAACACACTGATTAGATAATCTCCAAATGAAGCAGTACCACTGAATAGCTTACTAAAAAGGATGAGTATATTTTTTCCCTTTTGTCTTTGATACTTTTCTTATTTTCTTTGCTTGCTATATGCTATTTTTTCTTTTTTTTTTTTAAGATTTTACTTATTTATTTATGTATGTATTTGAAAGAGCGGGGGAGCATGTGAACACATGAGTTGGGGGAGGAACAGAGGGAGAGAGAAACTCTCAAGCAGACTCCCTGCTGCATGCAGAGCCTGATGTGGGGCTCGATCTCATGACCCTGAAATCATGACCTGAGCTGAAATCAAGAGTCTGTGGCTTAACCAGCTGAGCCACCCAGGTGACCCTATGTTATTTTGTATTTTTGTGACAGGGAGGAAAGTTAGACAAACATGTTTAAGATTGGTTATAATTCCTCACATCACATGCTATTTCAAATAGTGATTATTAAACACATGTCAGTTTAACATCTTTCCCAAATAACCCTATTTTTTTAAAGAGGTTTTTACTTATTTTAGAGCATCTGGGTGGCTCAGTCAGTTAATTGTCTACCTTCAGCTTAAGTCATGATTCGAGGGTCCTGGGATCGAGCCCTACATCTGGCTCCCTGCTCAGCAGGGAGTCTGCCTCTCCCTCTCTACCTGCCCCTCCTCTGCTCATGCTTTCTCTCTCTTCCTCTCTCTTGCTGTTTCTCAAATAAATAAAAAAATCTTTAAAAAAATAAGAGAGAGAGAAAGAGAGCACAAGTGGGGGGTGGGGTGCAGAGGGAGAGGAAGAGAGAATCTCAAGCAGACACTGCGCTAAGCGGGGAACCCAATCTGACGACTTTGAGATCATGACCTGAGCTGAAACCAAGTTGGATGCATAACCAATTGTGCTACCCTGGCACTGCTTTTTTAAAGCTTTTTAAAAAAAGTAAATAAATAAATAAATAAATAAAGAGATTTATTTATTTTAGAGAGATAGCTGACTATTCTTGCTAGAACTATAGTAGATCCACTTATCTAAGCACTGATTACTCAGTAAAGGCACAATCAAGATGAATGGGCAGTAGATGTAACACACATTCTTGTTACACCAAGCTCTTAATATTTCTTACAAGTTTTAAGTCCTCAGAAACAAACACTTGTGACAATTTACCAATGGATACAGAATTCACATCTTATACCGATGTATTAATCATGAGAAAGTTTTCACAGATTTTACCATGTTTTATAAAAATGTATTTTATTCATATTTCTTAATTCATATAATTTATTCAGATGAGCCAGCTTTGATGTTCATTTTCATAATGCATTTGAGAAGTACCAGAATTAATGTTCCTTTGAGATAATTTTGGCTGAAGCCCCTCTACTTACTCATTGTTGTTGCATCGGTGATCTATTTTGCTTCCTGTCTCTTGACCACAGCAGCTTTTCTCTAAAGAGGATGCTCTTATCTGTTCTTCCTCAGAGTGCATCTCTTTTATTGGCTTCCTTTTTTACTGTGGAGTTTTCAGTTAAGTGTGTGGAAATTCATTGGTAAATGGATTTGCATTATTTGTTTTTCCATTCTCTGAAGCTTTTCATTATTTTTAATAGCTTCTTAGCTATATGCAAACCTTCATGTTCTCTCAGTCGTATTCTTTTATATTAATTTACCAGCAACCCAGGCTCTTTCCCTGTGAACCCTTATCTATAGAGTCAGGTTTTTGTTTGCCATTTTCCCATATGACTTTTAAACATTGTTGTAGCTTACTGTCAAGAATCACTGGATACAGTTCTGTAGTAACAAAAATCATAGCCCTTAAAAAATCCCTTAAATGCCCCTTAGTATAGAATTTCCCTTGTTCTTTCTCAAAAATATGTATGTAATTGAGATAAAGATTAGAAGAGAAATAATGTGTAAGCGTAGTATGGTTGTAGGTGATTTATTAAAAATTTTCCTCAATTCATTAAACTTTCTACAATACTCTGATTATATTGCATTCTCCTCAAAACTTTTTTTTTCCCCAGGTGGTGACATGTCTAAGAATGTGAGTCAGTCACAGATGGCAAAACTGAATCAACAAATGGCCAAAATGATGGATCCAAGAGTTCTTCATCACATGGGTAAATACAAAGTTGTTGCCAGTTTATAATACACAGTTTAATTTATAAAGGTTGAGTTTTAATAAGCCTTCTGTTGTGATATTATAAACATCTGTTCAAAAGGTGTATGATTTGAGGGAAATAGTCATCTGAATTCTAAGTTGAATGGTTGTAATAGTGCTATATAAATGAGGTTTTATTCCCTCTTCTGCTGCCATCTGTGTGATTTTTGAGCAAGATACTTCATCATCATCTGTTAATGTTTGTTCCAGTGACCTTTTGCCCTAGTTTGGAATCTGGATATTTTCAATGATGAGACTTTGAAATTATAGAAGGATTTTGAAACCCAGTTATACTTTTGCTGTGTGACCTATGAAAAGTTCCTTAAACTTTCTGAACCTTACTTTCCTCTTTGGTAAAATCACAGATAATATCTCGTCAGGAAATTGTGACAATTAAGTGAGCTAATATATATGAAAGCATTTAGTTCATCTCAGGGCATATAGATGTTTAATTCTTTTCTTCCTGTAACTTCTGTGAAACAATTCCTCCACTTCCCAGAATTGGTTACTATTTACAACAAGACTCTTTTGGACTTCCCAGAAAAAATTCTTTTGTTTAGAATTATTGACTCCCTGCTGTGTGACAGGTACTGTTCTAAGATCTTTTCGTATATTATCTTATTTATTCCTTCTAACTTGATGAGGTAGGTTATTTTTTTTTCTGTTTTATAGATAAGGATGCTGGTTAATAATACAGATTTTTAATTGGCATGTTCTTTAAGGCTGATGACCAAATCGTAATCAGATCCCAGTAAATATTTTAGAAGTTAAAGTACTTACTTGGTAAGAATAATAATACATGTTTCAAGTGCCACCTAATAATTACCTGATTTTACTCTATTTTTACTCTAGGTGGTATGGCAGGACTTCAGTCAATGATGAGGCAATTTCAACAGGGTGCTGCTGGCAATATGAAAGGCATGATGGGATTCAATAATATGTAAAGAAGATGCCTTAATATAAACTGACTCAGTTGATTACATTATTTGCTGAGACCTCAGAGTTTCCCTCCTTTTTGCAAACAGGAAAAAAAAAAAAGTATTTTTCTTGCCTGTCTTGCCATTTTTCTTTCTCTTCTCATCTATTTTTTCCCTCTCTCCTTTTCTTCTTTCCTTCCTACTTTCCTCCCTTTGATATGAGGGAGGAATATATAGTTTTTGTGGAAATCATTATATTTTTGCTTTAGATTTTCTTCTGTTAGTTTTCACCATCATAATACTTCTTAAGTTAAACAAATCATGATGTAAAATTTAGTACTTAAAAGTTTTTAATTGTCTCAAAGACCAAGCACTACATTTGTAAACAGTCCTGGTCAGTGGTTACATGATGTCTCAATAAAAGTGCTGTAAAATAAACTTCAAACTCGTTATAAATTAAGGGGTTGTTAATTTCCTTTATAATTTAAATATGAGAGTGGATCACATTAAAAGGCAGAGGGAAAAACCAATGGCTGTATGTCACTTAAAACTAGTCTTATAAGGTGTCTGGATGGCTCATTCTGTTAAGCCTCTTCTGACTCTTGATCTCAGTCAAGCCCTGTGTTGGGCTCCATGCTGGGTTTGGAGCCTACTTAAAAACAAAACAAACCTAATCCTACAAGTCTATCTTTAATCAGAAATATGGTAGAATAACTTAACCATTAGTAGTAGGAATTTTTGTTTACCTAGAATAATTACGTTAATTTTGCCATAGAAAAATCTCAAGCCTGCCATTTAAAATTGAAATTGTGAATTTAGTTTATAATATAATGTTTTGTATATAGCTTCCATTTTTTAACCTCATATATGTGAAGCCTTAGTGGCAATATTTGGTTTTTTTGAAAAGCCAATTTTGTTGTTTCTTACACACCAAAAAAATCTGCTTGATGAAACTGATGTTCTTTGGTGATAGTTAACTTATAGACTTCCTAGTGGGAAAATAATTGCATATTATTAGGCTGTCATGATTAAATATTAAAGATAATGAGACAGTGACAAGGTGGACTTGGTTGCTGGTTACTCTGGATTGCTAAATATTTCATTTAGAAAAGTGACTTTTAGGGGCACCTGGGTGGCTCAGTGGGTTAAGCTGCTGCCTTCGGCTCAGGTCATGATCTCAGAGTCCTGGGATCGAGGCCCGCATCGGGCTCTCTGCTCAGCAGGGAGCCTGCTTCCTCCTCTCTCTCTGCCTGCCTCTCTGCCTGCTTGTGATCTCTCTCTGTCAAATAAATAAATAAAATCTTAAAAAAAAAAATCATAGAAAAGTGACTTTTAAATAAATTATGGAATTAAAAATACTAGAATAATTATTATACTTAATATTGACATCATGAAGACTATAGATATCATGTAGTAGTGTATTTTGAGTTATAATGAATTGATCTTTGGCAAAGGATTGATTTGTAATAGTGAAATAACTGGTTTTTATAGTATTAATTTTTTATAACTCAGGTATTTTAATAAAAAGGTCTTATAAGGCCGAAGTATCTTTAAAAAGTAATGACATTTAAAAAAAAAAAAGTAATGACATAAAGAATGCAACAGATTTTCTTGTTTACTTGGGCAATGATTTTATATCCCACTAAATTATTTTTACCAGCTAAAAATTTAGCATATCCCTATAGAACACTGTATACCCTATTATAAATTATGTATCTTGTGTTCTGCAGAAATGACATAAGGTCCAGCTGTAGAAATTTGTCAATGAGAAAATGTTGTTTTCCAAATTAGTTTCTAATTAAATTGATGGATACCACCTTTACTGGGCAAGCATTTCTGTGATTTCTATCCTCGGGGTACCACTTTTCACTTTGACCAAAGAAGGAAAAGAGACTCTTGGCCAAACTTGATGGCTCAGTCATTGTTTGTTTGTTTTTTTTTTTTTAAGTATTTTTGTGTCTGTTGCAAATTATATTTTTCAGAAGCAAAAATTACAGTGGCAAAGGACACCAGAACTCCTAGTTCAGCTTCCATATCTCTTTTCTATAAGATGAGGGAATTGGAGATGCTTGCTCAAATTCTGACTGCATTAATTGCTCAATCTGACATCTTTAGTTACAAAAGCTATCCTTCCAACCTCACAGTTTTTGTCAAAGTACTGATGTTTAACAGTGTAAGTACCATATACCAAAATCAAATAATTTGACCAAATTTCCTTTTATTTTTCACTGTTGTTAAAATTGGTTGCTAAGCTTTTTGATACCTGTTATAGACCCAGCTTAGACCACTAGCTAGATCTAATATTGTATAACATTGGATTCTTCCTGAATCTTATTTTATTTAATTTTTTTAAAAGATTTTTATTTATTTATTTGATGGAGAGAGATACAGTGAGAGAGGGAACACAAGCAGGGGGAGTGGGAGAGGGAGAAGCAGGTTCCCCGCTGAGCAGGGAGCACGATGTGGGGCTCTATCCCAGGACCTTGGGATCATGACCTGAGCCAAAGGCAGATGCTTAATGACTAAGCCACCCAGGCACCCCTTCCTAAATTATATTATAATATTAATTAAATATGTACCAACATAAAATTAGGTGTAATTCCTAAGCTTTCAATGATTATATAATTATAAAACAAAAACTCAGAAATTAGTTTCAACGAACTATGGTACTAGCAAAGGGCAAATTAATAGGCAATTTAATGTGATGGATGTCAGTATTCTTCTGGAAGTACCATATTTGCTGCCATATGAGATATAAGGTAAGTATACATAATGCATTGCAATTTTATGGAGGGATTTTTTGGAAAAAATTAAACACTTAGTAAAAATGATTTCAAAGTGTGTTGCATAATCATTATTTTGTTCAAATACAGTATATTTTAATGAGAAGATTTCCTAGATCTGATATGCAGTAATGTACTCATTTTGAATAGAACTATAGTGCCCTATAGCTAAAAAGAAATATGATATTGTGAATAAATACCTACATACAGAAGGCAATAAAAGCAGGAAATTTACTAGAACTAAATTCTCACCATGCATATTAGTTTGGTAAAATTAATATAATATTATTGCTTTATTTCAGTGAATGTAGAGGATTTAAAAAGTAAACCATAATGTAAAAATAAAATTGTATTTTTTTACATATAGCTTTAGAACATACAAATATTTCTGTAAAAAAATGGAACAAAGCATTTAAAATAAATGCAAAGGAATTTTAACTTGATGCTGGATATGTGATCAAATCAAGTATTTTACAGTTTGTATGAGAAAAGTAACCAAGGAATTTGGATAAGCTGTAATAAAAGTATCAGTGAAAATCATGGCTAAATAACAACAAAATGTACATAAGTTTTGATCTTCCTTAAAATCTAGAAATAATTATTAATAAAGCCAAAGAAGTTATATCCAAAACTAGAAATCCATCATCACAGCTCCAATCTAGATAATGTTCATTGCTTGCATTCACTGGATTTGAAATGGAGTTGTCATCTTTAAAATTCTGTTCTAAAATCCAATTGCCATATTCCCAACATTAAGCTATTGCATTAAAACCTAATATCTTCTTGGCTTATGAGTCACAAATTACAGGAATGATGAATTTGTATCTCATATGTGGGGGGGGTAATTTTAAATTTAGCTCCTAGATAGTTCTGTAGTCTGTAGGTTGTGTTAAGTAGTTATAGATGGGGATGTGAAATTTTACTGTGATGGTTGTTTTCCCACACTTTGCATTTAGGGGTAGGTAAGTATTTGTGCTCAGTGTTGGGTAGTTGCTAACCCAAGAATTTAGGCCATTTTTACTGACCTCTTAGTGTGATATGGGTATATTAGTATGAGGTAATTTTCAGATACTTTTAAGAGGAAAATACACCTTGTAAGCTGGTAATTATGGCACATTTCCTTTGATAATACTCATGCGGCGCCACACAAGTTCTTTTGAGTTTGGCATGCCTGTGCTACTCTGCAGTTTTCTCATTACCCTTCTCTATCCATTTGAAATTATCACTTCAAAAACATTTATTTTTTTAGCTTCACTTGGCTTACAGGGTTCTCTCAGCCTAAAACAATGCATTTCTCGGTAGCAGTTGGATCTAAATGGCAAAATACTCAAGTAATTACACAGCAGTACCTGCCTGTAACAGGGATAATTTCGATGAGCCTGAAGCTGAGAAAATCTTCCTGAGGCCAGAGACTCCCCCAACACTGGGGTGTAAAGGCTTTTCCTTTTCAAGGAAAGTGGAAGGGAGTAATATCCTGTGACTATGGTATATTTTTTAGCAACACATGCTCAAGTTTTGTGAGCCATTTTCCAGAGAATGGTTGCTTCTCTGCATCAAGTAAGGAGAACATGCAATGTCTGCCTATCTGCATAGGTTGGGAAACATGCTTGCTTGCTTTTTATGATTTTATAACTGAAGAAGAGAAATTTCTTCTACAATGACCCAAAAGAGGTAAGAGTTGTTATTGGATATATTCATGAGCCCATAACTTTTGACTTTGGGAATCAATTAAGGGGGTCCCAGAATTTCATTTCTGGCAGAAGTGGTTCAAGAAATACCTGTCAAATATCTTGACACTCCATTTCATAGGAAGTGCAGGAAGTGTGAAATCCTTCAGTTGATGTGTGTCTCTTGATTTCCTGCAATTTTTTTCTTACTGCGTTAAATAATGGCTGATCTTGCTCTGAAATAATGATATATGACAGTGAGATAAATGAGTTTTTTTTCCTAGTTTTTTTTTTAATTGACATACATCACTGTATAAGGTTACAGCATGATGGCTTGATTTACATATATTGTGAAATGGTTACCATAACAGGTTCAGCTAACACCCATCTTCTCATGTAGGTACAACATAAAGAAAAGAGTAAAAAAAATTTGTTTGTGATGAGAACTTAGGACTTACTCCCTTAAGTTTTCTATATATTGTATATCCGTGTTAGTCATTGTATACATTACATGGAAAGGCATCCTTAATTGTGGCAATCCTTATTATAGCTCACAAAAGAAAAAATATGTTTTTAAATAATATATAACATTTTAATTTTATAACAAATATAAAAAATTAAAAATTATTTTACATAAATTACAAATACATACTTATTTTATTATAGTTTTTTAGATTATTGTCAGAAGACTCCTACTGTTCAGACTTCAGATTAATATGTGTAGCTTTCAACACAGAAATTGCTATGTTTAGGCATAGTGTACAAATAAACTAATATTTTATGACTAATGCTATATAAAAAATTCTGCTAGTTGAATATCAATAGTCCATTCCCATGACAAAAAAATCTGACCAAATTCCAATTAAAAGAAATGTACTCACATGGCATCAAATAAAACATGTTCACTTGGTATTTTCATTTGTTTCTTAAATATAGGGCTTTAAAACTTACAAATGGCTATTTCTCATAATAGACTTTAAAAAAAAATACACACTTTGATAATTTGCCTC